ATATATATATATATATATATATATATATATATATATATATATATATATATTTAAAGTAACGCATACAGCAGTAGACCATGCAGATATACACGGAAAAACTGTATAAAATATTAAACAAAGCAAGCATACCGTCTCGGCATTGCATCACGAATAAAGAGAATTCATCGGAGGCGTTGCATGCAGAGAAAGTACTCGCAAAAGTTGCACATACTGTGCAGACTACTACTTTTGAAGGCCGAGAGACATGGCAGGAAACCTATATATATATATATATATATATATATATATATATATATATATGCGTGTACGTGTAACTGTAAGTAGAAATACTTGGATTCTGCTCGTCTTGCACTCAATTTGCTTCCCTTTGCTTCAGCTGTGGGTACGGTGGCCTCACTACGGGCTCAGACTACTGCTGGGACTGCGTCCCGCTGTACAGAGAAGACAAGAAGAAAACCTTGATCTTTCACATAAACAAAACAATAGAAGATTCTCTTTATGTTCACTTTCTAGACGAGTATTTACTTCTTTACTGCTAGCAGCAGCCCGCCGTCAGAGGCTCGCAGGGCATTCATAAACCAAGAGAAGCAGCGGTCTATGGAACCTGGTCTGTGTACAGTTGGTGTTTTATATGCCTCTAATGGCTTTTAGTTTGGCTATGTGTTTAAACACTGCCTACAAAGCAAGTACACCCAGCTCTCGCGGGGTGGTTGCGGTTGCACGTGCGGGTGCCTTCAAGTGTTAGATGCGGTGAGAAAAACGTTGCAGTTCAGCACGGAGTTTGCTGTCTTTTCTGTCTTTTCTTCGCATAATACTCATTCCCACGCCCCTGGGCTTTGGTGTGCACAGCATGCCTGGTGTAAACAAGTCATTTATAGTATTTCAAGTATTGTGGGACAGGTTAATATATTGTTGCGGGGTGTTTTTGGCTCCATTTTTATGTATATTGGCATCTAAACTTATAGTGTTCCGACTCGATTGAAGCTCACGACGGTTCTGTCTATCTAAGACAAGGTCGATGACCCTCGCTACTCTGTAAACCCCAAAACTGCAACACGCAACGGGGTGAGGCGCTAGAAGCGCAAGCTTGTGTTGAGGAGCAGAATACAGTGATCTCTACTCAGTGTTTGCTGTCCACTTCTTTGAGGAAAAACACTAAAAGTGCGAACTGAGTATTAGACAGCCAGAGTAAATATTTACTTTTGCAGCGGCGCTGGATTTCAGTGATGGTGTTCCCGGGTCTAGAAGAGGTGCCTGGTTCCATTGTATTGACACTCATGCAGACATAAGCCACCGCCTTCTTTGGAGTTTCAGCCATATGTGAAAAATTCGGCTTTCATGGGAGACACGAACTCGTGCTGTGCTGAGATGAGCTTAAGGCGATGGGTCGGCGGTGGCTGTGGCGTGGTGTGTACACAGAACGCCCGCATAAATCGTCACAAAAGCATCATTGCGGCTTTCTTCGCTTTTTAATATTCAATTAAAAACCAAAATTTAGATTATTTTCACATATTTGCGATATTTTCCGCCGTCTTGCAAGGAGGCACCGCTCTTGTGNCCAAAATTTAGATTATTTTCACATATTTGCGATATTTTCCGCCGTCTTGCAAGGAGGCACCGCTCTTGTGCCGTAGCAGTACCCCCCGAGATGAGCGCGCGGTGGCAGAGCGCTCAAGGCATCTCAATATGCGAATTCTTTGCCTGAAAGTTTTGAAACAAAATAACACAGGCAATAAAATACATAAAGATATGAAATTAAGATAAAGAGGGCTGCGTCTGTCGGCTTAATACGAGTGTGCGGCGGCGTTGACCGTCGAGCTCGGCTGCGGTGTGGCAGAAGTTGAACACCTCGTGATCCTCCTCTTTAAAGACGCTTTTATGAAGGAATTTCTTCTTATTCGTGCAATTTCTTCATTTTCTTTCTTTTCTCTGAAGAAAGCGCTAAGTTGCCGCCGTAATCAGCTGGTGTTCCTGCTCTTGCAAGCCAACAAACAGAACCGCCACCCTCCCCTCTGCGCCAGCTACCGACGCCCCCCACCACCTCATTCTCAAATCCTTTGCAAAGCGCACAACCCTCTTTCTCTGAAGGTCTTTATTTCATATTTCCTTCGGCTTAGCGCGCCGCCTCCTCCTCCCCTTCCTCTTCTGTACACACCAAATGGGCAGCACCCCTTTCTGGGGGCCCCTGTCTTAGCCCTCTCAACCCACCGCAGGAGCCGCTGTTTCTCCTTACGTCTATTCTCACGGACTCTCTGCGAGGTCTGTCCCCTCGAATCATAGGGCGCAGCTTCAGGTTTCACGGCGTAGGGCTCGCCGAACGAGGCAGCCGNGTCTGTCCCCTCGAATCATAGGGCGCAGCTTCAGGTTTCACGGCGTAGGGCTCGCCGAACGAGGCAGCCGCTTGTCCTGTACAGTGTTTGCTGTTGTTGCTGGTTTTAAGAATGGTCTCTGGGCTGACGGCATCTACCCAGGATTCGATTCTCACAAAGGGTGTTTGTAGCTCATCCCCGAGCTCCGCCTGAATTTCTACTACTGCTGCTGCTACTGCTGCAGCTGCATGCTGCTGCACTCGGCTGCTGCGTGTTGCATGCGCTCTGAGGATGAGATGCTGTATGCCTGTCTGTTGCTCATCTACTCGCGCCAGCCACCAACAGCGGCACATCTCTGCAGCAATTCTATCTTTCTGGCTGAGGGGCCCTTGAGGCATTGATTTCCTCTGAGGCAAAGACAACCCCCTGAAGCGCAATTCACTAGCTGCTCGTGAACAGGCAGGAGCCTTATATATACTCAACAACGCCCCTGCAGGTCTCTAGATATGGTGCAGCGTACCAACGGGGGGCCCCTAGACACTGCTGAGGACAGACAGGGGCCCCTTTTGCCGCAGCATGCAGCTCCCCATGATTTCGGCCCCGAAACACCCCAACCCCAAGACCTCACGGGTACCTCTTCCGGCCCCTTCCGCACAGGGTACGAACTATTAGATGTCTTTGAGGCCCTGGAAGCTCCTGGGGCCCAGGNTCCGGCCCCTTCCGCACAGGGTACGAACTATTAGATGTCTTTGAGGCCCTGGAAGCTCCTGGGGCCCAGGCTGCTGCTGCTGCAGCAACAGCAGCAGCAGATTTCCCTGTGGGCAGTCCCCACTGCAAGACCCCCTGCAGCGCCGGGGCCCCTGAGGGCCCCCTCTCTTCGTTCGAACAGTGGATGCGCCCGATATATGGGCAGCTCGCGCAGCCTTCTGGGGCAAGATGCTGGGAAGGGGCCCCCCCGGGGGCCCCCCGGGGGCCCTGTGCTTCCTCGGAGGGGCCTCAGGGTACAGACGAGGGCCACTGCTCCCCTGCAGATGGTGCCGCTGCAGAGGGAAGCAGGGGGCATTTGCCTTTGTCTGAGGCGCATTCATGCTGGTCTGCATCTGCTGCTGCTTCTTCGTCTTCTCCCGAAGAAGGCCCCGAACCCCTGCCTTTGGGGGCCCCAGAAGAAGAGGGCTTGAGGGACCCGGCTTCACTTGGTACCCCAGAGGACCCCGAGGGCCCCGGGGCCCCTGACCTGGGCCTCTTATCCTATGCAGAGTCTGCACAGCCACAGCCGGGGGCCCCGGCTTCCGGCAGGGACGGTGTAGAGCAGCG